AAAGCACAATTTCTCTTTTGTTTGTTTTAATAGTTCTCCACTCCCTGGGTGACTCATGAATCAGAGGCACAGAAATTAGTCAGTCACTGGCAACAAGTCCAACAAGTGCATTTTGGGACAATAGTCCTTGAAAGTTTCACTCTTGTTGGTAAGAATATTGTGGTGGTGGTGGACAAACTTGATAGATTATATGAGGGTTAGTTATTCTGTAAATGTTATGAATTACGAATGCAGGCTTCTGTTTGCTGCTCCCAAAAGAAATGAATTCCTTAGTTTTATTTGATAGCTCATTTTGTTGTGTGTGATGTTACACTGAAGACGTGATCCAGATGTTATCATATGACTGTGATTATCATCTATTTTAAGGAGTGAATATGCACATTTGATTGCTGTTTAAAATATCTTTTTGGTACTCTAATAGTAGGGAACTTGGGGGGGCCAACATGGTGTTCTCTGGCTCCACTTGACAATTCAGTTTCATTTTGCATTCAAAATAAGAAATGCAATTGTGAATCTTTGGCTGTCTGAAAACTTGTAGTTCTCATGAACAGCCATTAAATTATCCTAATTTTAGTTTATTTTTGCTTAACTAAATTATTTTTCCCTATCACTGATTTGATTTTTGTTCTTCAGATTATTTAGTTAATGTTTGTAAAGAGCTTTGAAAATGAAAAGCTCTATTGCTGAGTGACCCAAAGGGTCAAAAGTGAAAGTTAGCGAACTTGATATTTTTCAGATCTGATATTACTTCTTAGTTACTAAAACTGCCATTTTGCAATGTACCTTTTTAATATCTTGTCACTTGGCTGATGTTTAAATTGGTGGACATATTAGATCAGATATGATCTCACTGTGTAAATCTGGAGTAACTCTGTTGACTTTAGTGGGGTTAGTTTGGTTTTACTTTGATGTAACTGAAATCGGAATCTAGTTAATTTAGTAGAAGAGCCATCTAATATAAACTCTGCTACCTCTGTTGCCACTGGCCGGTAAAATAGAGTAAGCTTCAGGACTTTAAATTATCAAACTCAGTACTTCTAGATAAATTTGTTCCACCGTATGTGGTTATCTCTAGAATAGAAAAGGTCACTGAAAATCCAATTTAAATATTGGCTTTCTGTGTTTAGTTGAAGGGATTTGCAAATCACCAGACACACCCAATGGCTACATGCTTAGGAGGGCTAAGTGTGTAGTTTATTTTTGCTGATCTTTGAGATAAGGCTCTATCAGTTTGCAAATGTTTTGTCACCATAAGTCATTCAGAATCTGAAGTTCTGAGGGAGCTGTTCTGCCAGACTGTCTCCACCTGGTTCAATAAATAGAAGCTATTTCTTTTCCTGTCATTGATAGCTTTACTGGGAAAGTTATGGAGGGAACAGATGTGTAACAAGTTCCCAGGACCAAAGGCAGGTTTCTGTAAATTTGAGGGAAGCCTTAAACAAGATCAAGGCTATGCAGACAATCTGCAATACTTTTATTTCTAAAATAGGTTTATAAAAAACATAACTACTTCTTGCCACCTTGTCCTTATGCCTCTGCCTCCAGACATGACACCCCCACCACATAAGGGATGAGTGTGACAGTGGGATGTGTCTATATCCAATTATAAACTTCATTTTGTATTTACTGCACTTATCACATGTATAAACTTGTCCATGGCAATTTACTGTAATGTATTCCAGACAATGCACTATCCAGGAAAAAGTCTAGACAACTTTTTGATGGCTTCTTGATGATAGTTTTTCAAGATGGCAATCTAGGGCTATTGATTCTGTCTTTGAACTACTGGCCTATCCCCATGGAACAATGGATTTTCCTATACAGGAGTCCACAAGGGGAAAGGACATGCATGCTATGTGGATCACACGGCAAAAGAGACAGAGACTCATTTTAAAAGTGGGTGCTTCTCTGTGCAGGGGGCCAACCACTGCCACAAGTAGGCAGGAAGTGCAGGAGAGAAGGTAGGAGGGACTCTGCCCAGCCCGAAATGCTGACAAACCTTGGAATTGGAAAGTGTAGTTCAGATCTTATTTTTCAAAGATCTGCAACCCTTAAGTGCTTTTTAAGAGTAAAATGACTATGGTTAAGAAATTGCTTTGCTAAGCCGGTGTTCTTGGCTTTCCTGCCATATTTTACCCATACGGATAAATGTAGAAGCCCAGAGAGCCAACAGACTAGATGGAGCTCTGGGGGAGTTTGGATAAGTGACTAGGAGGGTTTGGAGGTCTCAGACATTGGTTTGCTGGGGGGGGGGGCAGTTAAAGTGGCTGAGCAGCTGTGGCCCAAGGAAGGTAGTCATCAAACAGGAGGTCTGAGCCTGGGTATGTACCCTATTGACCAGTGGTCACTGACCAGTTGATCGCGATCTCCAGCTGTGGCGGCTCAGTGGGGCTGCCGCTAAAGCAGGCTTCATGCCTGCCGCATACCGCTCCTGGAAGTGGCCAGCATGCCCTCGCGGGTGAGGCAGGGGTCTCCATGTGCTGCTCCTGCCTGCAAGCACTGCCCCCGCAGCTCCCATTGGCCAGGAATGGGGAGCTGTGGCCTATGGGAGTGGTGCCTGCAGAGAGGGGCAGCACGCAGAGCCATGTGCCGCCCCCCCCCGGGGCTGCAGGAGCATATTGGCCCCTTCCGGGAGCGGCATGGCCATGTGGTGCACTACTAGCTGGCAAGGTGTGGTGTTTGGCTCAGCTCATGATGGGGTGGAGGTGCCAGTGTGCCTGAGTGGGGCTGGGGCCTTAGCCCCACTGCGCTGCAGACTGGGAGACCCCTCCCAGAACCTGCACCCCAACTCCCCTCCTGCACCCCAACTCCCCTCCTGCACCTGTACTCCTTCCCAGAGCTCGCACCCCCTCCTGTACCTCTACCCTTTGCCCCAGGCTCAGCCCGGAGCCCCCTCCCACATTCTGAACCCTTCAGTGCAGAGCCTGCACCTCCTCATGAACCCCTGCCCCAGCCTAGTGAAAGTGAGTAAAGGTGGGGGAGAGCAAGCAGTGGGGGGCGGGAATGGAGTGAGCAGGCTGGGACCTCAGGGAAGGGGCAGGGTAGATCCTGGGTTGCACTTACATTTAAAAAAGTGATCTTGTGCATAAAAAGGTTGGAGATCCCTGCTGGAGACCCAGATCTGGAAACGGTGGGTAGACCTATCCAGACCCAGTTGCTTTACCAGCACATAGGACCCAGTAATTAGGTCCACTTGCAACTGATTGGTGACTGTACAGTGGGTTACTAGGCCAGGCTGTAACAGTGGGTAATGCAGCACAATATCATCTGCTGCTGCTTCATGAATGTTGCAGAGGCTCTTTTATGTGTGGCTTATTTCAGATAGTTACTTAATTGTCATGGTAATATAATTGATGGTGGGGCTGATAATTTAAACTCCAGCTATGTTGCTATGATTCAGTTATTGCTTTGTGCACCTCAGTTTTGAAACCAAAATGTTTTCAAAACTTTATTAACCTAAAACTAAATAGCTTCTAGCTTTGGAATTTGAGGCATCCATGGGAGGATTTGCTCAGGAAATCTGCTTTTGTTTTAGCTCTTAACCAATGAGATCCCTCAGAGCTCAGCTGAGTGGGCAGATTTATTAGAGAAAAAGATAAGTTTCATTTGATAAGTGAAAGAAAAACGTACATGGATCAACAACAATAATTTAGAAACATTTTCAGGCTTAAGACTATTTTAGGTTCGTCAATGAGCTCAGCTCAGCCACCCAAAAGCTTGAAAAAAAAATATATTTATATATTTGAAAACCAAGTTTTTAATTTAAAATGGTATTTCTCACGTTTTCTAGGCAACAAACTCAAAACACCTCAGGATTCTCTCTCTGATTATGTCCATGGCTCTTTTGGTAGTGGACAGTGAATTATTCCTGCACGAATTATGCACCACTGTACATGCACAGAATTCATGTCCCCAGCAGATTTCTTTGCTTCCCCGCAGAAAAATTACTTTCTGACAGGGAAGCAAAGGGAAGCCACGAGCAGTCATGCAGCCCTCCCCTGCAATATATTTCAGGTACCCAGGGCAGCCGGCAGAGAGGTAAATCACTGTGGGGCAGGAGGTAGGACTGGGGAAGACCCAGCTGGTGGCTCCTACCCTGCGCCAGGCTCAGCTGCTAGTCGTGGCTGGGCTGGGGAAGATGGGACTTTCTTTTCCCCTGCATGGCATCCGGGGCTGGGTCAGACCTACTCCCAGATTTCTCCCCAGGCTGCAGGAAACTCTCCAAACTCCCCACCCATTGCTCCTCAGCTGCAGGGGGACGGATCACTGTACAGGAAGCTCCTCCCCCATCCACCCCCCAACCCCCGTGTATCCAGACTCCCTCATACCCAGACCCTCCCACCAAACCACACCCCACACACACACCCAGAACCCCCTCTGCTGAGTTCCACTCCCCCAGCACCCAGACTAGCCACCCTCACTTGGTCCCCACCCCACTGAGCTCCACTCCTCCAGTATCTGGACCCCCCACTGAACTCTCCACACCCAGATTCCCCTGTCAGTCCCCTGCACACCCAGACCCTGCCCTGCTGAGCCCCAACCACCTTCACCTGGACTCCCCTGCAGAGTCCCATTATTGTTGCACGCAGAATCCTCCAACAAGTTCCTGTGCATCTAGATCTCTGCCCCCGGATCCCCTACTGAGCCTCCTGCACCCAGATTACCCCACACAGAACCTTCTCAACCCACACCTGAATTCCACACACCCCTCCCCCCCCCGAAGCCCCTCCACACTTGGATACTGCTGGGCTGAGCCTGCCAGCCCACACCTGGTGCACCTGGTACGGAGGGGCAGGGCCCTGAGGTGTTTCTGGGGCAGGCTTGGTTCTTGGGCTGTGCCAGGGTTGGGTGCAGCCTCACTGCTGAGCCATGTCCCAGGGGGAGGGGGGAAGAGCTACAGCGTGATGATCTACCTCTGTGCAGCCGGTGGCCTGTGCTCCCCAATGCCAAGCTGGAGCCTCCACGTTTATTTGACAAATAACATTTACAGAATTTTAAAATATTGTGCACCGAATTTTTATTTTTTGGCGCAGAATGTCCTCAGGAGTAAGTGAATTCCGAGAAGTAGTAGTAGATCCCATCCTGGTTTCCTGTTGTAGCTTAGCAGCATGGCAATCTTCAAATCTTAAGTTCATCTCTTGGACAAATGGTCAGAGAGATACTTGGCCATTAGATTTTGTTAGTTCCAGTCTTCCAAAAAAAAACCCCAAAAAACAAAAACACCAACCCGGCTTAATAGAAAAAAGGCAAATTACAATTTTTTTACATCTATTTGTTTGATTCTTGCCTTATTCTATTGTGCTTTTAATTAACCCCAGCTTTTCTGTTTTGTTTTGTCTTTCACTTTTGTTTGATATAGAAGGGTTACAATCAGTGCAGTAATTCCAGGGTTGTGGCATGCTTGTTAGACTTAACATACTGTATGTAGAGGGACTGTATGCTATAGTGTTTCATGTTTTTACTGTGTTTGAGACTGTTTTTCATTAACTAGTATTTCCTTCATTTTGCTAGTTGTATCCTGCCCCCTCTCCATTTGTTTTTTCTGTTTAGATTGTAAACTCTTCAGGGCAGAGACTATCTCTTCCTAGGTATTTGTACAGTGCCTAGCACAATGAGACCCCAATCCTGACTGGGGCTTTTATGTGCTATTGCAATATAAATAGCAGTAATTGTTTAGATGGGAGGCCTATCTAGCTATGCATAAATGTCATAAGACAATGTGTATTCCCTGTTCAATGTACTACCGCGCATCAGCTGTTTTCCTTGCTCTGTCTTTCTTCTGTTGTGTTTACTTAAATCTAAGCTCGGAAACATTGCGTGTACATCAGAAATATTTGTATTAGCAATATTAAAGAGAGCAGTTATGTTAAGCGGATAATTATAAATGGAAATAAAAAAAGTTTAGAGGCTGAAATATGCCCATCTCCAAATTTCATAAGAGGTCAAGATTTCTCAGAATGTGATCCAATCTAGACACATGCCCAGGGGTTAAAAGTCATGCTACAAAAGCCTACCAGCTCCGCATCCAGTGGTGATGTTCTTTGATGCAATTTGATGCACCAATCTTAATGACATATTTTGTCCCTGTTTGAAATTGGCTATGCATACACATCTTATACATGAACCATGCAAAATCTTTGAAAGTTTTATTAACACCTGATTGTAATATGTAATCAAGTCTAGAAATTGGCCAAATGACTGAACCTGTTGCACACTTGCAAAATAAAGAGAAAACAAAACACAATTTAGTTAGCATGAAAACTACTTAGGAGATTATGCAGTAGGATGGGGTATTTATTTCAAGCGTAGTAGGAATACACTGCATTGGTATTCAAGCTAGACACAGTAAAAGTTAACTCCCACTGGAAATTGTGCATAATTCCAATCTGCTTTCAGTTTTTCATAAGGCTTGCTCTTCAGAAGATAGTTTAATTAGATGTTCAAGTGTTTCCTAGAAAAGCAAATGTTATATATGCCTCATGTGGGATCACTAACTTGAAAAACAGTCACTGCTAGAGGTTTTCGTGTTAGAGAAAATGATATAGTATGGTATGCCTCTGCGACGTATTAAGTACTCAGTTGGGAAATCATAATTGATATAAATAAATTATTTAATATTTATATTACAGCAACCCCAGAGGCTTAATTTGGGATCAAGGCCCATTTGTGCTAGGCCCAGTACAAACAGAGAGGTAGACAGAGTGTCCGCTCCAAGAAGACAAGCAGCATAAAAAGATGGGAAAGTGAAGGAAAACAAATCAAACATGCCATTTTATGGATATTTGCTTTTTTGTTTTTAGTTCCATAAACATGGACTTTTCCCAAGTGCTCTTCAGCCTCGCTTCATATGTTGTCTGGTTTCTTGTCGGGGTCACAGCAGAAGTAAGCCCTCAGGAGGGATTTGAAGGTAAGGGCTGTAGCTCTATGGATCAGTTAAGGAAGAGTGTCCATGCATAAGGTATGGTGTAGAAGAAAGAGCGTAAAGACTTGTGGAAGGAGCAAATTGTGAGCAGATGTCCTACTGTGACTTCAACATTTCAGGTGCTGCAGAGATCTGGGGTGGTGGTTGAGAATAACTTAGTTGGAAAGGGACACATATCAATCTAGGACACATGGCTATCAGTATTAATGATTTGGGATCAAGGCCCAGGATTCTCATCCTCATTGCCAGTAGGAGTCTTTGATGGATTTTATAGTTAGAATCAGCAAGCTATTAGATTTCCCTCAGTTGTAAACTAGAGGCGATAAGAACTAGGATATAACTATGAGCCTCAGCTGTGGAACTCACTGTCTGTTGCAATTAGAGATGCTCATTTTTTCTTGTCATAAATGGGAAGGCTAAAGATACACTCATTATAGCTAATAATGTCTTAAATATTCTATAGTTAGTTGCACATCGGTGTTGGGCATGAGTGTGAAGGATGGTATTTACGTATGTGTTGTTGTTTTTCTGGTCCTTTAATGTTTCCTCTATAACATTTGGTTATGACTGCATTTAGACAACTCCTAATTCCATAAGGGGCTAGGTTATCTGCCACTAGATTTTGCCACATTCTGTGTGTGTTTGGGTTTTTCTCCCTTGTCTTTCATTCTCATTATTATATAACATAGTACTCAACAATCCAGTCACGATTGGGGCTGCATTGTGCTGGACACTGTACAAAGACAAAATGGAATCCCTGTCTTGAAGGGTTTACAATCTAAAGACACAATTAAATGAAAGACTGGGTATGTGAATTAATATACAAGAAACCCTTCCATCCATCTGTTAATAATCCTGAGTTCCAGCTAGTTAAGTGGATGGTGAAGCAGTTTTGCTTTAACAGTACGGTTAACATCCAAATTCTGTGGTGGTCAGATGCCCCAGGTAAGTCAGGCAATGTTGTATCCATGTTGCCATGTTCTTTTTTGTCATCGCCATAAGTACCACTCCCAGAGATATTTCTTGTAATCAGACCTCAGCAAGCTCTGATTGGTTAATGGTATTACATCGTTCCTGCAAGCATCAGGTTCACTGGCAGCACTTATGCAACCGATTATTAAACTCCATAGTTTTGGAATAACCATCAATAGTTGAAGTATGTTTTGGATAGCTGTGAATAGCTGGTTCTACCAGACTTCACTCTTGCAGATAAATTCTTCTGACCCAATTTAGAAGTTGTGGCCATATGAGTGCTTATTTTTTGCTTTGTATTTGGCTGTACAGCCCAGAGTATATTAATGGTGAAAGGTGTGGCAGGGTAATATCTACAATCTAATGACCGGCACATATATGCTTTTGTTCTTGAAGATCATTTTCCCAGGGATTACATGCCTACAATTTTGTATCTAAAGGAATGTGAACTATATTTGGTGTGTTGTGACATCCACTGAAAATGGTCAAACCCATTTTGGGGGCAGTCTGCTAGTAGTTGGACTGTTCTGGTAAGCTGTCTGAAGAACTTTTCCATTTGGTAATGGGTCTAAGGGAAGAAATAAACAAATCCACAGGTTCCACATGTGTTCCAGTAGGATCATACTGGAAACCTCAAAAACCACAGTGATACTTTCAGTAGTTGTATCCATTACTCTAGGTGAATTTCATTTTTTGATGAGACGTCTGTGTAGCTCAAATAACACCGCAATCACCAGGCTGGATCCTAGACCCTGCTCCAATGCCTTTCCACACCTTCAGTGTTGTAAAGGGAACATAAAGATTATCCGAAGAGGGCAGCTGTGAGGAATCTGCTAGTGTTGGGGTATCCCCAGCTTGTGCACAGCAGGTGAAGTAGGCTCCACACTGCACTCTCCTAGCTTACGCTAATGTAGGGGGTGTTTCATGGATGGAAGGGTGTGTGTGGCTGGAGCATGTTGTGGTTTAGGCAGCTGTAGTTGGCATAATGGCTCCTTAGAGATGGTGTTATAAGCCAACATAATTTAGAGCAACCTGAGACAGCCTTAGTGATTGGGGGAGTGCAAGCATCGCTGTATAGCCACTTTTGCACCCCAGTTGGTTGCATTGATTGGAGCTCTGAATGGGCACAAGTGAATATCTGAGCCAATGCCTCCATTCCAACTGAGCATGTATTAGTAGGACTTAAAATCTATGGCATTTCAAGGATCTGAAACATAATTTAAACTTCTGAGGAATGACCCTACCCAAACCTCTCTAATGAAGAGCCTGCTGCTGAGCAAGGGGATCTGGATTGAGTCATGATTCTTTGTGCTAATGGGTAAGTCCTTCTAGCATATGTCCCATGCATTTTGGAGGATTATATGGAGTTTGAGAGAAATTTTACCCCCTAGCTGAGCTCTGTTGTTGCAGCTGTGATGGGTTGGATCACAGAAACCCCCTGGGAGCTGCCACCTGATGTGCCAAGACTACTTCTGCCCCTGCTTTCCTGCCCAGACAGCTTAGGACTTCAGTGCCCTGCCTAGTTTGAGCCAGATCCGCTAGCCTGCTGCAAACCCAGACCCAAGTGTGAACCACGTACCCTAACAACTGTAGGCTTAACTGAAAGCCGCTTACAGAAGTGTGCCTGTCTTTAATGCTCAGATGCGCAACTCCCAAAGGGGTCCAAACCCTAAATAAATCTGTTTTACCCTGTATAAAGCTTATACAGGGTAAACTCATAAATTGTTCACCCTCTATAACACTGAAAGAGAGAGATGCACAACTGTTTGACCCTCAAGTATTAATTAATAAGTAAAAAGTGAGTTTATTAAATACAGAAAGGAGGATTTAAGTGGTTCCAAGTAGTAACAGACAGAACAAAGTGAATTACCAAGCAAAATAAAATAAAACACACCAGTCTAAGTCTAGTACAGTAATAAAAACGGAATATAGATAAAATCTCACCCTTAGAGATGTTTCAATATGTTTCTTTCACAGACTGGAGCTGGACACCTTCCTAGTCTGGGCACAATCCTTTCCCCCGGTACAGCCCTTGTTCCAGCTCAGGTGATTGCTTGGGGATTCCTCCTAATGGCTAAAAGAAAAGGAGTACTTGTGGCACCTTAGAGATTAACCAATTTATTTGAGCATAAGCTTTTGTGATCTGATAAAGTGAGCTGTAGCTCACGAAAGCTTATGCTCAAATAAATTGGTTAGTCTCTAAGGTGCCCCAAGTACTCCTGTTCTTTTTATATAGAGTGTGCGTCGCAGCAGCGTCAGTGTTTGCAGTAGTGTCAATGGTTCCTGAAGCCCAGCTCTCCAAGGGCCAGTGGCTGGTGGATGGGCATAGAAACAGATTCACTGGCTCTGCTGTATTAAATACAGAGAAAGTGCTCTGTTAGGGATGAGAAAATAACACGTAGTCTCCATGTTTACTGTGTCTTAAAAAAAATACTAGAGACCCAAATTCTGGCATCCTTAATTTGTACTCCAGCACATTCCCAATTACTTCAATGAGTTTTGCCTGAAAGAGGGCTGAATATAAATTGAATAAGGACCTTAGTACTTTAGTCAGATTATGTGAATTCTTGATGTGTGCTGCCAGGGGCTGTGTGTTGTGAGGACTATAAGAGACAATCAGGGACCATCTGCAGCAGCTTCCTGTCGCCATAGCAACCAGAGCAGTGCTGAAGTAAAGATCTCACATTACTGTTTTTGCAGCCTGAATTCAGAGATGGAAGCAGGTGGCATGAGTATGTTTGGCTGGAAATAGTGTAGCTGTCTCCCAAGTATTTTGCTGGTTGGCCAGCATGGTGATGTAGTGTAGCCATGTTGGAATTCCAACATGTCCTGAGGGAAGGAATATCTCTTGTTGCTCAGTAGTGCCCCCTCTAGCTTTCTAAGTATTGTATTTGCTGACTCTAACAGATGTCCCATTAAGGCTTCCTTGCCTATAAAGATTCCCCAGCAAAGGGTCTCAAGGCATAGCTGACTTGGATTTAAAGCATATGCTGGCACTCATCTGTTATACTGGTTGATGATACCAATAAATAAAAAGAATCTGCCAACATTAGTGCACAAAAGTGGTTTGATACCTTGAGTTAACCCTTGTCCTGGCTTCCATATCTGAGGTTTGCAGTTCTCTTGGTTTTCAGTTAGTTGCCCTAGCAATTCTCTTTCCTTGAATTAATATTTCTTCCATTTTTGTAGTTAACATTGTATCAAACATAAAAGAAATTGTAAAAAGTATGTCTTTATAATAAAAATCAACAGTATTTCAAGTTTACAAAAACATAATAGAGAGTGCTATTCTGCCTCATTTTATGAATCAGTGCCACTCATTGGAATACAAAGCAATCTGTAAAGACTACATATCTAAAATTTCCATTGATTTATGAAAAATTCCATAATGTGTACATTCAGATGGGAAAAGAAACAGGTAAGCCATTTCATTTTCCTGATTGAGTGTAAAAACATTTGGTTGTGCACTTTTAGGCTTATTTCTTTGTTCTGGTTAGAAACTGAAGGATAAGGTGTATGAACTCAACAGGCCCCTTATCCAATTTCCATGTCTGAGCTTTTCTTTGATACCTGGTGACAGCTGGCCAACACTCTACTAGCCTGAAACTCTGACAAGGTGTACAGCCAAAACCTAGAGGGGAAAGTTTGACTTTTTGGGTCTAATAAGACTCTGATCATGTAAGTGACATCGTGTGTGGACTGCTTCAGCTGCATGGAACCCCATTGTATCCAGAGGAGCTCCATGCAGGTGTAAAGGTCTGCCTGCCCAAGTAGCTGGGTATCTTAGCGATATTGTCAGGCTATATTTTGATTGCAAATGTAGGTTTTGTTCTTAAAAAAAAAAAAAAAAAAAAAGCATAACTAAAAACAAACATCGTTATTTCCTGCCTTTTTTTTATTCCAAGGAAAAGAGTCCCGTCCCCCCAAAAAACCACAAATGTTTCCTTGTTTTTCAAAGCCAATATCAGATTATAATGGTAGTGCATGAGAAGTTGAAAGTGAAATTGACTAAAAGCAAACTATAAAAATTAGTGAAATTTTTAAGTTCTTCTTGCCCAAACTGAGATGCAAAATGTGAACAAATGGCATAAAAATAACAGGTAAATTAGTTAAAAAATTTAAGCAATTTCATATGATCTAGATAATTAAGCTTGAGATGTTACATATCTTTTCAGAATAATATCCTCACAGCTGCCGCTTTTTCTTTTGATTTGAGTGAGTTCTTAACAGAAATAAAAATTCTATAATGAGATATGTTAGGGCCTGAATCTGATCTCAGACTAATTATATTACTGATATGTAACTTCATTGTTTTCAGTGCAGTCAGTCCTTAAAGACTTGTTTACAGTTGGAAATTTACCAAAATAGGTATTCTGGAATAGCTCCCTGTGTGGGCGCTCTTATTCCAGAATAAAAGTGCCTTTTTCTGATTTAGCTTACTCCACTTTGGAAGTGGAATTAATAATTATTCCAAAATAGCTATTTCAGTAAATTTCCAAGTGTAGGAAAGCCCTTACACAGTGTAAATGAAATCAGAATCAGACCTTCAGCACCCTGTCCTACCTGTCTTTTGTCCTGCTATCTTTTGTTGCAAGCATGTTATCCTCAGTCAGTATGACATGTAGAGAGCCTGGAATTTACAATATTTAACTGGTCAGTTTAGCCTTTCTGGGGACGAAAGAATCTGCAACTAACAGGTTTTACAGTTTCAGGGTAACCACACTTATATTCCCCCTTTATGGACCCTCAAGGACATTCACTTAAGGTTTCTGGCTCCCAACTGTCACCTCTCTTGGGTGGAGACCTACATCTCTCCCTTCTGATAGGGGGTTTTAAGGCTGCACAGCTCCCTGTCTTACACTGTGATATACCCATCAAACCAGACTGCCTAAAAAGGTCAGTGCCTGTCCTTTGCTCTCTCTCCAAGGACTATGAATAGTATAAAAGGGCTATGAACTATGTATTGCCCAGTTACAAGTTACCACCCATCTTTCTAAGCAAGCATATTTCTATTAATGCATTTACCTTAAACTTAAAGATAATAAAAACTATAAACAGATTGACACACACTAAACGTACCTGGAGTCATCCATCAGTCTTGTGGAACCCTGTCTGCTTGCTGGTTCAGAAAGAAGGACCTGAGTCAGTTTAAACCTAGCCTTTTAAAATCAAAAGCCCTTTTTGCCTGTTTCTGGGGGAAAAAAATTGAAACAGTATATGCATGCCTCCTTAGGAGGCGGTACCTCTCTGGAGGTGTTTATAACCTAGGGTGATGCACCTTAATCATCCCACTGTTTTTATTTTTTGGCAGACCTCTGGCAACTCTCCCCCTTGGAGCCACATCTAATCTCTGGCCCACAGTGATACATAGCTATTCATAACCTTCATGCAATATGTTTCCACAATATGTCACACAGGCATGACACACAATTTGTGCCATGAAGTGTCACTGTGATTAGTATCAGTTGCAAAAGGTTCACAATGGGAGTGTAGGAGATGGTTTTGAGTTTATCTTCGTATTTCAATCTTAAGCATTTCACACATGATTATTTATTCTGTTTGTATGCCATGTATATTGCTTAATTCTCCAAAACATTTCTAATGGTTGCTTGTGGCTTTAATAGGAAGTGCTGATGGCATTGTGTATCTGGTGGGAAACTTTACACATTATTCATTCATCTATCCCAATGCCAGTCACAATTATGTCTGGGTTCTAATCTCCAACTGGAATGGCTTTTTCTCTGGAGTCTGCTTTGTCTTACTGCAATATACATTTACTGGAAAAAAAAAAAAAAACCTCTTAGCATTATACCCCCATTTCCTATGTACTTAAAACTCCACAGGCACTGTAGCAACTGATAAAGGAGGCTTTGAGTCTCCACGTTAATTAGGTTTTATTAATACATCACACTAAATTGCTGCTGTTCATATCCTTAAAGTGGATTTTCCCTGTGATATCTAGTGGACCAAATTCTGCTTGTAAATAAGAGCAGAATTTGGCTCATACTTAATGGCTGCATTATACCTGTATGTGCAAATATAAAATGTAGTATTTTCCATGGTAATTTTAACGTATTAGGCATTTGTATATATTCATTCATTATAATGACTTAAGAAAACGTATTTAAAAAAACCTTGTAGTGAATTTTCTTTTCTTTGGTTAGCCCATTTCTCCTCACCACCTAGGAGCAGAACCCTGGCAGTTTCTGAGAAGTCCACATGTGTGTTGTCTTTTGTCTTTATAGGAACTCAAAATCTAAGGGCATCAGCAGTAAAACTGAAACTGGCTTATATTTTGCCACCATTTCTGTGTCCTTAAAAATACCTATTTTTGGAGATATGACAGCCTAGAATGAAACATAAGTCTCCATTCATGTAGCTGCCGCAGCCTTACAGCTCAAACCTGTAAAACATGTTTTTTCCTTTCTCCCACTTGCTGTTCTCTCTTGCATTCTTTTCCCTTCATGTTGGTGCTGGGCTCTCTAAGATTATCTCCCTTTTACTTTTCCTTCTGCAGAGGCAGCATTTGGAACTTGTGAAAACCTTGGGTGATGGGCTGGGCTACCTGATTCTAGGAGAACTGTTGTGGAACAGGCATGAATTGTACATGGGGCATGTGTAATTTGCTATTCTCTGAGTGCATTTTTCAGAGAGGGAGGGGGACAAAAATAACCTTGCTGAATTAAAGCTGGCCCTGCTTTCCTGCACCTGTCTCTCAGATAGGGTGTTTATTTTTGGTCAACAGTATGTGAGACTTTTTCTCCCTTTCCTCTCCCCATCTCCTTTTCTTGTTTTTCTCCCTCATTCCCCATATCTATCCTTGTGCTGCTGCTATCTCCCTGAGATTTTCTTTCTCTCCACTCTCACCCTGCCTGTGATTAAGTGCCTGGAATATTTCCAGCCTGATGACTGCAGAGTTTCGCAATGAGACTCTTGTGGGAATTACTGCAGTAGGGCTGTATCTCAAAATGCCCTACTCATAGGAGCCAGGCTATACTATACTTGACTGTGTGTGTGTGTTTCAAAGTGACTAGTATGTTAAAAGCACTGCTGCAAATCAAATAATAATGGTCTGGTGCAGGAGTACCTGATGTGAGATTGTTTAGTTACTGATTATTGCTACAAAACATCTGATATACTTAGCCCCAACCCCCCATCTTCCTTTCAGTTGAAATGTATAGACATTTTCACAAGTTCCAGTAGCACTGACCTTTCCATTCTGCTTATCTGAGAATTAGGCCTGAACCAAAACCTGTTTCTAACCCCATCTCCGCCCCCCCACCCCCCTCTGATTGGGCACGTTTGAAATCCAAACCCAAAGCCTGATCCCAAAAGTCCTGAACTTTGGTGGTAGTTGAAAACTGAATTCTGTGACTTGAGTTTCTCTAATGACCAGAAATGAACTCTGTCCCTTTTGGTCAAAGAAGTCAGTCACGTTACCACATTGCAAATTTGTTTGGTAGTTTTCTTGTCCTTTGTTAAGCCCTCTTGTGGGAAGGAAAGGTGGAGGGGGCGTCTTCAGGGCATGTAGCTGAACAGAAACCTTATGGAGGTGTGTGTGAGTGTGTGTGTGTGAAATTGAGTTGGGATTTTCCTCAAGTCATGAGATAACAATAGCACTGAAGGCAAGGTTATGCCCGCCATGACTAGAAAAATGTGCACACACTCATTCTTAACCCATGGCTTTTATCACAGTGTCTACTCACTTGGTTGAAAAACAGGTAGGATCTACTGTTTTCTCAGAAGCTTGAGGGGATAAATGGATCTTTTCTTTAATTCATTAGCTTCCATGATGAGGTTATTTTTCAGAACATGAATATCCAAAATGTTGTAATTTGTTGCAGTGCCATATTATTGCATCATGTTGTGATGTTATAACAGTGCAACAGCAACACAACACCAAGTCAGCCCAGAACTAAGAAACAAATGTTTTATTGTTGTTTTTCTGTCTCCAAGCTAAAGACAGGACTTCTTGGGTTCTGCAAGTTTATGGCGGACCTAACTCTTGATGGCAGTTAAACTTTATTCAAGGACACTGTCCTAATTGCTGTAGACTGAAAGCACGGACCTGTTATTTGTACTTCGCCTTCTGCACGAGGCTGTGTACACTGATGGCACTCTGTGGTATCACTAGGATCAGAGTTCCAGGTGCTAGAGTAAGCTATTTTCCCCATGAGGTTTACATCTGCAGCTTGAAGAGGCTGCTGTCAGTATTACTCACTACCTGAGACTGTCCAGAATTAATAAGCAAACTAATTCAGAACGAAGGTTAAACTTTCAACAAACCCAAACATTTGAAAGTATGTAAGCAGGGGGGAAAGATCTAGAAAGGTAGGGAAGAGGAAAGAGGCACAACTGACCTCTTGATTCCCCTCTCTGTGGAGGTCTGACCATTCTGGTCAGTGGAAACAGGACATTTTTAGCAATAATTGGCCAGATTGTGGCTGGTCCTGTATGGATCCACAAAGGGCAGAGAGAGGACAACAACTGAGCCTTCACTCTGTTGCCCTGCACAGGAGTATGAGTGCTGCCAGGTTAATGTCACTGCTACACTAGCTCCCCAGTGGGGATGGTCAAGGGTAGGACTGTGACACAGCCCTTCCTCTGCTGGACTTGCTGCACTCTGGGTGACTACACTCTCATTCCAGTCAGCGCTTTCCTGGAGGAATTCTGGCAATTCCGGTAGAGACTCCTGCTTGCTGTGTGGCCCCTCCTCACTCTGCTCCAATATCTCAAGCCACAGTCTGACCTAAATAATTTATCGGTTAAGGTAGATCAGAGTGTCTTTATTGTTTTTTTACATAAAGTGTTCTAAGATTCCTCCTCCCCCATACCTTCCACTCCATTTCCCATCCCCCTCTCCTCTTTCTCCTCCATTCTCTTTCTCCTCACCAGTTTCATGCTTTATCTTTCATTCCCTAGGTATCTTTTATCCAGCTTCCCCCAACAGAATCCTCTTTCTGTTTTCTTTCCCACAATCCACCCACTTAAAATATTTTCTCCCTGGCCTCATGGAGCATCACTATGGTGATGTCATGATGTCATTGTACTAGGAACTGTTACCTAGGAGATGGTGTGATGTCATTGTACTGGAGACCGTTGCTAGGGTGATTGTGGTGGGGAACGGGGGCTGTCATGTGACCCACATCAGGAAATGTTCCCATTAAGGAGGAGGGAGAATGGTGTGTGTGGTGGGGGAATGAAAAAGAAGCCGCCAAAGATTCAAAAATCTCAGTTTTCAGTTTATCTTGATATAGAATGCTCAACTAGGTCTCAGCTTATCTGTGTTCTTATCTATCTGATCTCTCTCATATATTTCCTAATGTGCCTGTCACCATAGGCAGCATTTGGCCATAATAAAAGCAGAATAAGCCATAGTCCAGTTGTGTTCCCTGGTGGCATGGGTTCTTTTCTTTATTGCTCTGTCCATCCTCTTTTACTGTCAGGTTCCTCTCATTTCCATGATGAATAATCCAGCGCAGTCATTGACCACACAGACGTCTATGGTATGTTACATGCGTGAGCTTCATGCGGCTGAGGGGGATATAGTTCTGTACCTCAACCAGCAATCTGAGTTCCCCCCCCCTCCTGCCTCCCCCATTCCTGTTTCCAGTCTATCACTGATGATGGGAACATACCTTAGTAATTCCAGCAGCTCCACGAAATGCCTAACCTGAAAGGTGAAACATGTTAACAAAAAAGATGATGCAGCCATTATAGGTCAATAATGGCCAGCCCTAGGTGAAATCCCTTCCGGAAGATACCACAAAGGTGAAGCAAGCAGAATCAGGTTGCAGGAGTTCACAACTTTAAAATGCAATATGGTCAAGTAACTGGGGAAAAGGTTTGAAGGAGAGAGGAGGGTTCTGATATCCTGGATGAAGCACTGAATCACTGCGTTATCTCAGGCAACCTACCTGGCTTCTGCCTTAATCAGCCCAGCAGGACAGTGTGTAAAAAAACCTAGGAATCTCAGTGACCAACCCATATAGCATCTGAGATGAACTTTCCTGCAGAAACAAATGACCAAAAATAGAAAGTAAGATTTCATCTGACCCAAAGACAAAGAAGAAGAATTGTCCAGTGGTTGGGGTGCTAGTCAGAGACCTGGGTTCAATTCTCCTGTTCTGCCAATAACACCCTCTGTGACTTTTTGAAAGTCACTTAGTCTCTGTGTGCCTCAGTTCCTCTATCTGTAAAATAGGGACAGTGGAACTGCTCTACCGCACAGAAGAATCGAGGATAAATGCATTGCAGTTTGGGAGGCACTCAGATATATAAATGGCCATATTATAAATACATAAATTAGATA